CCTCCTCCCTCTCATGCTCTCTGTCTCTCATTCTCTCTCTCTCAAATAAATAAATAAAATCTTTAAAAAAAAAAAAAAAAACTGCAGCTAATCTGGGGAGCCTGGCTGGCTTAGTCAGTGGAGCATGCAACTCTTGATCTCAGTGTTGTGGATTCAAGCCCCATGTTGGATTCAGAGATTACTTAAAAATTAAAAAAAAAAAAATTTTAAGATTTATTTATTTTAGTGGGGGTGGGGGAGAGCAGAGTGAGAGAGTCCCAAGCCTACTCCAAGCTCAGCATAGAACCCGATGAAGGGCTCGGTCCTACAACCCTCAGATCATGACCTGAGCCGAAACCAAGAGTCATATGCTCAACCAACTGTGCCACCCAGACGTCCCAAAAATAAAATCTTAAAAAAAAAAATTCTGGTTAATCTACTTGCAGAAATTGCAAGCTGATCCCAAAATTCGCAGAAAATGCAAAGGACTCAGAATAGTCAAAATGATCTTGAAATAAAGGAACAAAGTTAGAGGACTTACATTTCCCAATTTCAAACCTTACTACAAAGCTACACTGATCAAGACAGTTTGGAACTGACATAAAGACAGACATAACAGATCAATGAAATAAGTTGAGAATCCAGAAATGAACCTTCACAATTACAGTCAACTGATTATCGACAAGAGTGCCACGACAATTCAATGGGGGAAAGAATAGTTCTTTCAGCAAATGATGCTAGGAAAAACTGGATATCCACATGCCAAAAAATGAAGTTGGACGCACCCCTACCTCTCACAATTTCTAAAAAGCTAATTCAAAACAGATCAAAGACCTAAACATAAGATTGAATCCCACAAAACTATTAGGAAGAAATACAAGTGTAAATCTTCGTGAGCTTGTTTTAAGCAACTGTTTCTCAGATATGACACCAAAAGTAGAATCAACAAAAGAAAAAGTAGATAAACTAAGCATTATCAAAATTAAAAACTTTTAGGTGCACCTGGGTGGCTCAGTTGATTAATCTGTCATTAATCATGATCTTAGGGTCCTGGGATGGAGCCCCACTTCGACCTCCCTGCTCAGTGGGGAGTCTCCTCCTTCTCCCTCTGCCCTTCCCCACCACTAGTGCTCTCTCTCAAATAAATAAATAAAATCTTTAAAAAAAAAATTTAAAAACTTTTATGCCTCAAAGACACCACCAAGAAAGTGAGGAGACAACCCACAAAAATGAGGGAAAATACTTGCAAATCACATATCTGATAAGAAGCTCATATCTACAATATATAAAGTTACAACTCAATAATAAAAAGATGAATAACCGGGGGGCCTGGGTGGCTCAGTTGGTTAAGCGACTGCTTTCGGCTCAGGTCATGATCTCAGGGTCCTGGGATCATGCCCCGCATCGGGCTCCCTG